TCTTTGGGTTATAAACATGCATGTTAAGTTTCATCAAAATCGGATAAAAATTGTGACCTCTAAAGGGTCCACAACCTTGATATACCATATTTTTACGCTATTTGAGAATGAACGGCGGCCATTTTGTCTGTCAGTTTTGGGCCGATTTTCATGAAATTCTAACTCAGTCGTCCTTAGGGTGTAACGGTGATATAATTATACGGTTTTTTAAATCGCATAAAAATTATGACCTCTATAGGGTCCACAAGCTAAAAACGCGATTTTTCGTACAATCAGGGGCCATAATTCAGGAAGTTACTGTCTGATATGCGCGAATATTGAAAAGAACCAAGATCTTTGGGTTATAAACTTATATTTCAAGTTTCAACAAAATCAGATAACCAGCGGCTGCCAGGCAGGATACGCCCACATTTTCGAGAGATGGAGAGAGAACAAGCTAACAAGAAAGTGATTTTTCCTACTATCAAGGGCCATAATTCAGGAAATTACAATGCGCAAATATCAAAAGGAACTGAGATCTTTGTGTTATAAACTTACATTTCAAGTTTCAACAAAATCGGATAAAAATTGTGACCTCTATAGGGTCCACAACCTTGATATACCATATTTTTACTCTATTTGAGAACGAACGGCAGCCATTTTGTCTGTCATTTTTGGTCCGATTTTCACGAAATTCGAACTCAGTTGTCCTTGGGGTGTAACGGTGATATAATAATACTGTCTTTTAAATCGGATAAAAATTATGACCTCTATAGGGTCCACAAGCTAAAAACGCGATTTTTCGTACAATCAGGGGCCATAATTCAGGAAGTTACGGTCCGATATGCGCGAATATCGAAAGGAACCGAGATCTTTCGGTTATAAACTTATATTTCAAGTTTCAACAAAATCGGATAAAAATTGTGACCTCTATAGGGTCCACAACCTTGATATACCATATTTTTACGCTATTTGAGAACGAAGGGCGGCCATTTTGTCTGTCATTTTTGGTCCGATTTTCACGAAATTCGAACTCAGTTGTCCTTGGGGTGTAACGGTGATATAATAATACTGTTTTTTAAATCGGATAAAAATTATGACCTCTATAGGGTCCACAAGCTAAAAACGCGATTTTTGGTACAATCACGGGCCATAATTCAGGAAGTTACGGTCCGATATGCGCGAATATCGAAAGGAACCGAGATCTTTGGGTTATAAACTTATATTTCAAGTTTCAACAAAATCGGATAAAAATTGTGACCTCTATAGGGTCCACAACCTTGATATACCATATTTTTACACTATTTGAGAACGAACGGTGTCCATTTTGTCTGTCAATTTTGGGCCGATTTTCACGAAATTCGAACTCAGCCATCCTTAGGGTGTAACGGTGATATAATTAAACGTTTTTTAAATCAGATAAAAATTATGACCTCTATAGGGTCCACAAGCTAAAAACGTGATTTTTCGTACACTCAGGGGCCATAATTCAGGAAGTTACGGTCCGATATGCGCTAATATTGAAAGGAACCGAGATCTTTGGGTTATAAACTTACATTTCAAGTTTAAAAAAAATCAGATAAAAATTGTGACCTCTATAGGGTCCACAAGCTAAAAACGTGGCTTTTCGTACAATCAGGGGCCATAATCCATGAATTTTCGATCCGATACATGCTAATATCAAAAGCAGCCAAGATCTTTTTGGGATAAACCTATATTTCAAGTTTCTTCAAAATCGGATCGAAAGCAGCCAAGATCTTTTGGGGATAAACCTATATTTCAAGTTTCGTCAAAATCGGACAAGAATTGTGACCTGTAGAGAGTCCACAAACAAATTGTGGACGGACGGACAGGGGCGACGACAATATACGTCAACATGAAAATGTGGGCGTATAAAAAAAATTGTGGACCATAAAAAAAATAGATATATACTTCCCGTCAATTTTACAGCACCCCCAAGAACACTTCCTGCCCCCCTCATTGCTCTGAGCTAGTTACGGCCCTGAATGGCTGGAACCTCAAATATGCTCTAATTCTACCTGGTCATATATGGTCACCTTCCCGCTAGAGCCGACCTCAGCTCTAAATTAAAAGACATCTGCTATTTGTGTAATCATATGAAATACCAGTAATGTTCTTGGTATAAGAGGTAAATTCTCAATACATGTACATCAATATAACTATTTTCATCAAATTCATAAAGTTTAACTTCAACTGATTAGATATATAGATAAGCTTAATGTCCTAATATTGATTTAGCTTACTGTACATTGAAATAATTATCAAATAAGACAATGTACCCTACATACTAGTAAATCCCAAATTACTAATAAATCCATATAATTTGAGAGGTTTTGCAACTTTACATTTACATTTACACTAAGGCAGTTAAACGTCATCAGTTTTTTGGACGTATGACGGCAAGCGCATGTCATAAAAGTGTGTCCAACAGATAGGAGCCCCCATAACGCTAAGTTCACAACACTTAGCTTAACCTTGTTTAATTTCTATAATCCAGTCCATAATTTTTCTCTGAATCGTGGTTTTCACAAACTAAATCCACACAGAAGACCTTCTCCTTCATGTAGAGAAAATAAGAAGAGACTGAGACAAAACATGTGCATACTTTACTAACCTCATCCTTAACAATCTATCTGTGTTAAAGACCTATCGAGATTGTGGACCAAGTTTGTGTCGCTACCTACTAAGTGTAACTGTAAGTGTGAATTTAGCGAAACGAAATAATTTACAGTTTCCATTTACACATCTAAATGTAAGTGTAACTGTTAATTTGCGAAACCCCTCTATTATAAGACTATACATTACATATAGTCTAAACAAAGGGCATTCTATTCAAAGTATAAATCTGATCAAAAAAGTTGTTAACCATCCATAAAAAAACAAGCCAACCTAGTGAGGCTAATGTCCTCCGCCGTAATACCAAAATAAATAGATGACACATATTAATTAATCGCACATTTATTTTTTTCAAAAGTATCAAGCAATCAAACTGATTATTAACTATACACTAGGTTTCATCACTCTCTTCAGATATAATCAAAGTTATCTTGTCCCAAAGCATCGACCAATAAAATTGCTTAGCTCTGTTTAGCTTTAGCTGGAAATGTTAATCATTGAACTCAGTCAAGACATTCATCTAAGGAACATCAACATCAAGTTTAAATATTCTATCTCAATTAAAAGCAGAGTTGTTTTGTTCCAAAGTCTGGACTAATCAAATTGCTTATCGATCCTTAGCCTAAGCAGAAAGAATGGAAATTAGACTTTTCAATATTTGATAAAATTGTTAAAATATTTGGTATGCCAGATATAGATTTATTTTCAACAAGAGTTAATACACAGCTTCCGATATTTGCAAGTTGGAGAGCTGATCCAGACTTAGCTTTCATTAATGCATTTTCTTTTAGTTGGTCACATTATTATTGTTATGCATTTCCACCTTTCAGTTTGGTTGAAAGAGTTCTCCAGAAGATAAGGAAAGACATGAGGGAGTGCGTAATAATTGTTCCATTATGGCCAACGCAGTGCTGGTTTTCACAATTTCTAGAAATGATAGTGAGTGTACCTCTAATTCTGCCAAAATGGCGACATCTGTTGACAATTCCAGGAACCAATCAGACAATCAGAACACACCCGTTAAGTCAAAAACTTGTTCTGATAGCGTGTCATTTATCAACGAATCCATTAAAAAGCTTGAAATTTCGGAGAGATCTACCACAATCATCATGGAGTCTTGTGAATGTTGTCATTGATTTTCTGACAAAATTATTTGATGATGGAGCTGGATATAGTGCTATAAATACAGCTCGGTCATCTTTAAGTGCTATAGGTTTAATTTTTGATGGATTTTTAGCTGGAAAACATCCTTTGGTCATCAGGTTTCTCAAAGGTGTGTTTAATTTGAGACCAAGTGTGTCCCGGAGTGAACGTATTTGGGATGTAAATATTGTTTTACAGTATTTAAAGAAACTATCACCAGTTCATTCAATTTCTTTTAAAAATTTAACGTTAAAATTAGCTATGTTAATTGCTTTAGTTACTGCTGGTAGATCTCAAACACTTCATTTGCTTTCTATTGATAATATTCATAAAGATACAGACAAGTACATACTAAGCATAAATGGGTTTTTAAAACAATCGCGACCAGGGTCAACTAATCAAGAAGTGGAACTACATGCTTATTCACCAGATAGAACATTATGTGTAGTGACATGTTTGAAAGAATACTTACTACGTACATTAGACATTAGAAAGGAGACTCAGTTTTTGTTTATATGTTATGTAAAGCCCCATAATCGTATTTCAAGGGAGACAATTAGTAGGTGGATAAAATGTGTAATGCAATTGGCTGGTATTGATATATCAAAGGCAAAAGAAAATAGAGTTTCTATTTCACATAATTTGCAAATTGCAGGGTGGTCTAGTTCAGGCACTTTTTCGAAGTATTATGATAAAAATGTAAATAAACCTGTTGCTGAGAGTTATCAGAAAGCAGTATTAATTTGTGATCTGCAATCTTCAGATGACTGAATGAGTTGTCGTATTTTTGTATTGTAATTAAAGTTTAAATCACATGCTTAATCAACAAAAGTAGTTGTTTTTTCTTAGAAGATTGTGCACTTGAGCTTTAAAGTCTCATATGGTTCCTTTTAGTGTAGTAACGTAATAAAATTTAAAAAATAAACGAACCTTACCTAGGTTAAGGTGAAGTTTAACACAAAAGGGATCAGATGCCCACCACAAATATAAAGGAGATACTTTATTACCCAACCCTGGAACTTGCTGTCGAGTATATCTAATTATGTGCATCTATAAGTTATTAAATTAACGAGTGCAAAATCTTTCTTTAAAGACTGAAGAACACATACGTGCGCACATTTCATCTGATCCCTTTTGTGTTAAGTGACTCATAAAATTATAAACAAACTTCACCTTAACCAAGGTAAGGTTCGTTTATTTTTTAAATTATAGGCTTCATAAAGGTGCCACCTAGTACTTACCTAGTGATCTTATCTGTGCACAAAAATAAGGATGATCATAACTTAAAGGCTTTAGATACTGTAAAAAGTTACATGTTTCAGACAAATTCTTTAAGATAACACTGCTGATTTGACCAGAATGTGGTACAGAATCATCAAAAACAATATCTCCAGCACATCGATATAATGTCATCCCTGTTTATTAAACGTATTTGGTGATGAAACTATAAGCATATTTCAAACCTAAATTGCCTGAAAAAACAATAGTTATACAAAATAGCACAAATCAGATTCCAGCTTACAGAAAGTGGTTCTATTGTCATAAATATAATATTGACCTTAAAAAATATATTTGAAATATGTATTGAAAACTTTACGGTAATTTTTGAATTTGTAACATCATATGGCAGTCAAGCATGTTCTTACAGCAACATTGCTAAAACAAGTTTCTTTTTGCCAAACAATTTAACTGTTACATTAACAGCTTTTGAAATGACAGCTAGAAGTGCCATTTTTTGTTTAAAATATCCATAAAAATAACTCATAGTTTGCCATGGCAATTCTTTAACTCATTTTGTGTCAAAACTATTGTGTAATTTTAAATGATTAAAGATGCAACATCGCTGGATCCTTCTCTAATCTCATTGCAATGATGCTTCCAGTGGGTCTGGTACTCATGCCCTCTTCAATTACGGCAATGGTGCGTTCTCAGTTTTTAGGTATCAAGCTTGGCATACTGTCCGTCTTCCACAGAACTGTGGGTGTACTGACTCGACCTTTTTAAAAGCAACATTTTATTCCCCATGTCTACACCATAAAACTGCTTTTCTCAACATTCACAATCAGTTGGATTCAATTTTAGGCATACCCGATGAATTTTAGTGGAAAATGCACAGCAAGGGCCAAAAGTGTGAAGCGCACTTTGATATGGTATGGAGGCATCCCCCAGTAAATTTGTAAATTAGACATATGTTTTAAGCTATAGTCCATTCAGTACAAATTCGTTGTATTCAATTAAAAGAAAGTAAAATTAGTGCTTTATTATGATGTAAAAGAAGGCAAAATATTTTTTAAAGAAGAATATATATTAAGTTTGTTTTCACGTTACCCATCTGCTCTAATAATATTGCCCAAATCTTACATGGGAGGCTGTCCACCCTGCTTGTATGGCTATGCCCCTAGGAAGGTTAGCAGACGGAGAGATATAATTTCTGTTTGTCAAGTACCGAGAGAGAGAGAGAGAAATGGAGTTTAACGTACACTCGACACAAACTAGGTCATTTCGGGACTAACATATGGTTTAATTTTATTTCAATAATTCGTTTGCGCGTAGGGGTCTTTAGCAGTGGAAGGAAACCGGAGGACCCGGAGAAAACCCACGAGGTTGGACAGGCGACCAACCGGGGATTCGAAACCACGCCAGTTGACTCAATGACAGACTTTACGATACAGCGTGCACACGCTAACCATTCAGCCACCCAACCCCCCTCAAGTACCGAGAACAAATTGCAAAAGAATTTCTTTCACTGGAATCTAGTAAAGGGATGTCTTAAGGACTCCCAACTCAAAATTGTCCGCTGAAACCCTGTAGCGTTTTTCATAATTAGCATAAATCCAAGATGGCTGCCAATTGGACTTTCTGGCCTCCATATCTTGGAAACGGCTCGTTTTAGAGCAATAAATGTATTATCATTAGATACAAAAGTGATATCAACTAACTGGAAAAAAAGGTTATAACGATGCCAGCAGGTCATGGTATGACATCATGACGGCATTGTGACGTAATGAAGTCACACTGACGTTATTTTGACGTCAAAACGCTTAATTAGTTCTGCAGAACTATGGCTGAACCTGGAAGTTGTACACAAAGATTTTTTTTATGATTGATTTTAGTAGCCTATGGTGTCCTCTTTAAGAATCTGCCGATTGAACCTGGGTCACCCTTGAGTGTTTTGAGAAATTTAAGATGGCGCCCAAGACGGCCGTCATTTCAAATAATCACCTATAACCCCCATACTATTTTGTCTAGGATGATAATTTTGGTGTCTAACCGTATGTTTTTGGGGCCAAGGAATACACCGAAATCATCCATTATGTTGTGGGGTGATTAGATGATAGTAAAATGCAAAATAGCAGACAATACTGCCCTTTAACTTGATAGCGGCGGTTTGGACAATAATTATTTCACTGACCAAACTATATATTTATGGACATAGAAGCATATGATTGATACGATAACACTACATACATGCCTAACAGGGGGTCCAGGGTTACATGGGACGGCCCTGAAAAGAAGGGCACAATCTGTGTTTTGATCATTTAAAAAAGCAAATTCTACCCGCAAAATACGAAAATACCCCCACAAAACTAGGTAATATTCAGTTTAATCCTTTAGTCGTGTGTCTGGTTGCTACAAGCAAGCGTACTATTTGGGGCGTCACTCGTGCGTCCGCATTTGATGAGCCACAGGAGCAATTCGATCGATTGTAATGTTCTCAATTTAGTTTCCTTAACCCAGCAATACAGTTCTGGATCAAGTTCCGGTGGATTGCCATCTTCCAGTGAACGCCACACAATAGCATGGTGGTGACATCGTTTTACTTTCCATACGAATGCATCATTCGTTGGAGCAAGACTACATGGTTTAAATGTGGATGATAACGATATATTTCCAGTTTCGGATGCCTATACCCTCCAGCGTGTTTCAGGCGTCGATTTGCAAGAGCTCTGTCCATAACAAGCTGACAAGAATCACGTCACAATGGAATCACCAATCAAAGAAGAAACAACCGTTGACATGTCAATTATCATTGGAATCTTGTCAGCCCATACTCTTACTCGATATGACACGGTTGCATGCTGCTACAGCTTTGGAAGTGGCGAGAGCTTGATTGTATTCTCTCTCTCACTCGTCAGAGTAGTAGAATCGGTGCTTACATAGGCCACTGTACATGTATTTATGTCAGCTTGTTATGGACAGAGTTCTAGCAAATCGATGCCTGAAACACGCTGGTGGGTATGGAAATCTAAAAGTCATCATCGCCACTCAAACATGGTAGTCTTGCTCAATGAATGATGCATTTACAGGGAACGTAAAAAGAGCTCATCAACAAGCCATTGCTGGGTGAAGGATACTAAATTGATAACACTACAACCGGCCAACTTGCTCCGGGGTCTGTCATGTGTCTCATCAGATGCGGATACAAGAATGACACCTCATGCAGTACCCTTGCTTGTAGATGCACTACGGATGGCTTAGAATGTACAGTATTTTGTGCTTGTACTGTCTTAGGTTGCAGCCAGAAATACGACCAAAGAATTAAACTGAATATTGCCTAGTTTTGTGGGTGTTATTTTCGTGTTTTGTGGGTAGAATTTGTTTGTTTAAATGTTCACAAAACAGCTTGTGTCCCCCTTTTCAGGGCCGGCCCATGTGGCCCTGGAGCCCCTAATAGGCATGTATGTGATTTTATCACATCAATCATACGCTCCTTTATCCAGAAATATGTAGTTTGTCTCTATATATAGTTTGGTTTGGTGAAATAATGGCCCTCAGCCGCAGCTAACGAGTTAATGGGCCATATTGTCTGGCATTTTAGATTTTACTATCATCTAACCACCCCACAACATAATGAATGATTTCAGTTCATTCCTTGACCCGAGTAACATACGTTTAGACCCCAAAATTATCGTCCTAGAATAAATAGTATGGGGGTTATAGGTGATTATTTGAAATGACAACTGTCTTGGGCGCCATAGGCTACTAAAATCAATCCTAAAAAAAACTTTATAGACAATTTCCCGATTCACTCGAAATATTGAGGTTTGATGACCGGACTAACTGCTTTGATATCGAATAAGCGGGTTGGACGGGAGTTTTGGTGTCTTAGAGAATTAAGAATAAGCGGGCTGAGAACTAGTTTGTTTTTGTGACACTGACTGACTGGACTGGAATCCAATCTGGTGAGTGAAATTCAATCTGCATTGTACATGCACATGAGCATTAGGGGTGACCGATATGTCCAATTGGTGAAGCTGAGCAGTCTGATTGATTACATTCGATCCCTTGGTGGTGAGCTTGACAACATCCCCACCATTATTTAGGTTATTGTTGCAAATTATGCACGTATCCATGGCGAAATACGGCTCTTTTCACAAAATTAGCAAAAAAAGTTTCAAATATCTGGGGGAAAGCCCAGACTGGAAATTGCAAGCCAATCACCAGAGCTTAACAACATCCCCACTTTTATTTAGGTTATTGCCGCCACTTATGCACGTATCCATGGCGAAATACAACTCTTTTCACAAAATTAGCAAAAAAAAGTTTCATATATCTGGGGAAAACCCAGACTGGATTCCAAGCCAATCACAAGAGCTTGACAACATCCCCGCCATTACAGGGTTTCAGCTGACAATTTTGAGTTGGGAGTCCTTTAGACATCCCTTTACTAGATTCCAGTGAAAGAAATTTTTTGCCATTTGTTCTCGGTAGTTTTTTATTTCTCTCCGTCTATAGGGGTTTATTTTTTGATTAAAAGCTGATTTATTTATGTATACCAAAATGCTATGACAAAACATTGTCCAAGATTAAATGTTTTATCAACTAGCGCATTTCCAGTCTTCCCCATACAGCACTGCTTTACATCTAACAGTTGTAGTTTAGAATACTAAATAATAGGGGGTTGTTCGTGGCTGATGAAGCTTAATGCCATTAAGAATTTGGGCATGTGCCACTAGCCCATTACATTTCAATGAAATCTTTGATAAACCCTGTAACATGGACCATATTAAACTAAACAAGCCAACAGTGAGGCTGACAAGTTTGTATGAAAATAGGCAATTCTATTACAAATAGTAAAGAGTGGATCACCAAAAGTTACTGAACAGTTTTTCTACATATTCGATCTGACATTTTGTAATTGTGCATTAAGGTTACACATTAATTTTCATGAAAATTATGTTAATCTATGTGTAGTATAGTTTGGATCAGTTTAATTGGAAATTAGGGGGGTTTTGTTTTAAAGTAGCTAAGTCTCTTAACTCAATATCATTCACAGTCTTTGACATTGAAAACACAAATCATTTGTCAATTTAAATCAACATTGATGTTGTGATCTTACCGGGAAAAGATGCTTGAGGTCGGGTGTTCGATCCCTGCATTGGCCGAGAAAGTTCATCCAGATTTTCCAGGGTGGTTCTCCCTTGTCAGTGATGCAGGACGGAGGGGCTGACAAGGAAAGCTGTCTAGTCGTTCGGATGGGACAAAAAACCAAGGTCCCGTGTACACATTGGCGTGCACATAAAAGATCCCTTGGCAGTTGGAATTCGATATAAGAGTAGGCCGTAGTGCCGCTGTCCGGGCAAAATTTCCCTCATAGCACACTGTATGGCGTATGCCCGTCTTCATTAGCCCAGGTTAGGAGCAGAACAGTAGGACGTTAAACTCCATTTCATTTCATTTCATTTCATTACCGGGAAAAGATGAGCTTCTGATATCAAATATTTAAGACAAAATAAACATTTTACCATTGGTACATAAATCGTGTACCAGAATGCGTTTCAGCGCCATTTGTAACAAGGGACTCGAAAAACAAGGCTAGACATATTCCACAAGTCATGTCAAACGGTTACGCCATATTCTTATCCGGAGAGCATGCACAATAAATACTATCGTTGTAGACTGGAATAACCAAACGCTAGAGATTGCTATTCGATTGAGACTTCTGGCGTATTTCGTCGAACATAACTGATTTGAAATTATTGAGTAAAAACGGAAAGGATTGAATGTAAATCAGTGTATATACATTCATATTACATTATTATATATGCGTTGCGACCCATTTATGTCAATTTCTAGGCACGCACCCCGGCCCCCTTTCTGAAAATGCTGGATACGCCCCTGCCGAAGATATTGGTTTAGTGGAACCATTTCTATGTCTAACCTATGCAGAAAATGCTCATGATCGAACCTAGTCAAGGTCTTATGTAATACAATTATCCAAGTTTCATCACTTTTACTAAAATAGAATCCGAGATATCAGTCTAAAAGCCCATCAACAACTCAAAGACATTCACCTGTTTGACGATGACCACGTGGGGCAACCCTACATGTTTAGTGACACATTTGGCATCGTTGCAAGAACCTTTAAATACCAAAGGATAATGTGATATGGGATGAAATATCGGTAGCATGATTTACCCAATTCCACCATTATTTCAACTTAAAGAGGGACAATAACACTCTTGCTGGCTTGACAGCTCCAGAAAATAAAAAATAGCCTTATTCTAAGTACTAGATGTGTTAGTGTCCTACCTGTTGTGTAAATTACCCATTAAATCCAAGTCACATTTGAAAAGCTTTACTTCAGGCTTTTCAAATCATTTAGTTGAATTTTTCCAATTTTTTAAATTTGGTGTGTTAAGATGAAATTTGTATCATCAATTAATTGGAATATTGTAAAATAGTAGCCTACACTTTGTTGACTAGAATAAAGATTGGGACATATTATTCAGTTACAACAAGAGTGGTATTGAGCCTTTATATGAAACACAATGATTTATATCGATAGGCCTATTTGATAATATACCATTCTTTATGCCAAATTGTCATTTTTAATTTACAATCTTATCGTTTTTGTGTCAAAATGCCTCTCAAAATCATGTGTTTTACCTTAACTCATACACTAACAACCTATTAAAATTGTAAATATACCCATTCCTGTTCAGTAACTTACATATACCGCGCAGAATCGAAACTGGTTGTCATAACAAATAATTATGGTTAACCATGTATGAATGATAAAAATGAACACGCGAATATCTTGACTCAATAAATGAGATATAATAATAACGCAGGAAATAATCATTTTATAGGCTAAACTGAAAGTAAGATTGCGTCACTTTGAGATTGACACGTATTTTTTATAATAACACGTTTTGAATGCAAAAACACGTCATAATATCTTTGTAGCGGTACATTTTTATTTGCTATTTCGGAAATATAATGAGCATAAATTAAATAAAAATGAAAAACCAGATGAAGAAAAAGAAGTAGCTTGTCTAGAACAAAGTAGAATTATTGCCCAATCTTTGATGATCTAGACTATAATCACGTGGTCTGGTTTTCCCAGAAAACAATAACGAAAGTAGAGTGACAACTTCGAACCAGAATTGCTGTAGAATTTGATGGAATTTGACAACATTACTGCTTACTAAAAATGTCCGAACCATGTAAATGAGTCGTAATATTTGACAGTAAGTAATGTTCTCAATACTATTATATGTTCGGATTGTCATATCTACTTTTTATACATTTTTCATCCATTTTTTTTTTTTTTTTATGTATTTTTCATCCACTTTATAATGTATTTAGCATGCTGACTGTAATTAGAATTTACATCCTGCCCGAAAAGGGTGTTTTATGTAATAAAATCTATCTATCTATCTATCTATTTGGGCCTACCTGGTTTGTTGGAGTTTTTTTTTTGGAAGCATATGAAATATGAACGAACGTTCATAACTTCATGTTAAATTGTGTGTAGGCCTAGAAGTTTTTCGAAGTTTCGGGAAAATTTATGAATTGGATTCTGGCCATTTACCATTTGTAATCAAAAGAAAATAGTGTTATATGAGCTCAGGCTGGTGATTAGCAATTTTGATGATTAGCTTTTTCTATTGTTTCCTTTCTCATTAATTTTTAGTTTTGCTTTCACTCTCTGAGTATCTATCTCTTAGTATCTATCTCTGCATTTCTTAGAAAAATTACGTGTCCGTTTAGGCTATATAGTCAACTTTTGTTTAATCAATTCGAAAATAAAATTTTAAATTCTGGATAAAAAGTTTCAAGTTATTTTTCAAAATTTTCATTATTTTCTGAGGTTCTTAAAATATTTACATGTTTCCTGGAAGGTTTCTTAAAGGAGCTAAATCGCTAATATTTGGGACCTAGAAATTGACCCAAATGGGTCGCAACACATGACATATAATAATCTAATCTGATTGTATATAAACTGATTTACATTCAATTGTTTCCGTTTTGAATCGTAATTTCAAATCAGTTATGTCCAGCGAAATACAGCATGAGTCTCAACCGACTGGCAATTTTTAGCGTTTGGTTATTCCAGTCTATTGTGCATGCTCTCCAGGTAAGATATGGCATCACTGCTTGACATGAGTTGTGGAATATGTCTAGCCTCGTTCTTCCTCAGTTCCTGGTCACTTGTTACAAATGACGCTGAAACGCACTATGGTATATGGTACACGATTCGTGTACCAATGGTAAAATGTTTATTTTGTCTTAAATATTGGATATCAGAAGCCTACCTTTTCCCGGTAAGATCACAACATCAATGTTGATTTGAATTGACAAATAATTTGTATTTTCAATGTGTAAGACTTTGGATGATAATACTGAGTTAACTAGAGACTTAGCTACTTTAAATGAAATGAAATGGAGTTTACTGTGATACCTTTCTTCTCCACCCGGACTGCAAAAACAAGATACACCATGCAGTATGATTTGAAGAAATTTTTGAAAAGACAGTGGCGCTGTAGCCTACTCTTATTTTGAATTACAACTGTCAAGGGTTCTTTTATGTGCACGCCAATATGTTCACAGGACCTTGTTTTTTTCTTCCCATTCAATCTAATTTTACAGTTGGTTAACTACCCATTCATACAATTATGTTCACAGTGTGTTGGATTTTGACAAGTTGAATGGAACCACCTATGTATTGTTTAAATTGAATAAAACTGTCTTTACTCAATTTTCAGGATTTTGACTAGACAGGGGCATATTTACATACCCTCCTGGCAGCTTGTTCCAAAAGGACTTCAACCATGGCAAAAAAGGGTGGTTGGGGGCTCTTCCTCAGAAAATTTTTAAAATTCCATCGCTGTAGATATGATTAGAGTAGCTAAGTCTCTAACTCAATATCATCCAAAGTCTTACACGTTGAAAATACGAATTATTTGTCAATTCAAATCAACATTGATGTTGTGATCTTACCAGGAAAAGGCAGGCTTCTGATATCCAATTTTTATGACAAAAAAAAACCCATTTTACCATTGGTACACGAATCGTGTACCATAGTGCATTTTAGCGTCATTTGCAACAAGTGACCAGAAAGAACGAGGCTAGACATATTCAACAATTCATGTCAAACGGTGACGCCATATCTTATCTGGAGAGCATGTGCAATAGACTGGAATAACCAGACGCTAGAAATTGCTATTCGGTTGAGACTCATGTCGCATTTCGCTGGACATAACTGATTTGAAATTAGAATCAAAACGGAAACAATTGAATGTAAATCAGTTTATATACAATCAGATTACGTTATTATATGCGTTGCGACCCATTTGGGCCAATTTCTAGGTCCCAAATATTAGCGATTGAGCTCCTTTAAGAGCACAAATTCTTGTTGACTTAGATACAAAGGAACAGATGATTTATTCGTTGGTCAGATCAGGTGAAACCAAATGAAAATGGGTTTAATTTCCTGCTTTTTGCACCAACTGGACTATTAAAGACTGGCATACGTCATTTATGCCTACTCTTCTTCAAGATCCCAGGTTCAGTCCTGATGTTGGTGAGAAAGTCCCTTGTGTTTTTCCGGCGTGTTTTTCACTTGTGCAGGACTGATGATTTGGCAAGGAACAACAGGCATAATTTTTTCTCATCTTTACATGTATTGTAGAAATATTGTCGTTGCGACATTGTTTTCAAATTTATAGACAAGGAATAGAGAAAAATTATGGCATTAAAGATACATTCCTGCGTACAAACTTTGTGAATAGATGATATATTTGGACTAAAAACATATTCAAAGTAACCAATCTATCAAAAATTTGTTTCATTCCCTCTCAAAACTTTGTATTTGTCGGGGATACTTATAGCTATAAGTAAGCTGTTGTTAGACGCAATATCTCCCAACTTAACTTCATTGTGGGAGGGTCCATTTTTATACGCCCACATTGAAATGTGGTCGTATATTGTCGTCACCCCCGTCCGTCCGTCGATCCATTCGTCTGTCGGTCCGGTGTCCAGAATTGATTGTGGACGCTCTAGAGGCTAACGTTAATATCCGATTGACTTTAAATTTATATACAGTGTTTAAGGCGATAAGACGAAGAAGCCTATTGATTTTCAGTGATTTACGATAATTACTGCCAGAGTTATGGCCCTTGATCACTTTGAAAAGTCTTGTGGACGCTCTAGAGGCTAAAGTTAATATCCGATTGACTTTAAATTGATACACAGTGTTTAAGGTCATGAGACGAAGAATCCTATTGATTTTCAACGATTTCCGATAATTTTTGCCAGGGTTATGGCCCTTGATCACTTTGAAAAATCGTGTGGACGCTCTAGAGGCTAAAGTTAATATCCGATTGTCTCATGACATTAAACACTGTGTATAATCCTAAAGTCAATCAGACTTATTATTATTATGTACACTGAACCCCATACTAGTTAACATTTTTATACGCCCACATTTTCATGTGAATCCAAATATATAAAGAGAGAGGAATCCAAAACCATTTGAATAACATAAACTTAGATGGGATCTAAGTCATAATAAACTTGATACGGTGGCCCCTGTTTGTACGAAAAATCACAATTTTAGCTTGTTGAAACTTGAAATGTAAGTTTATAACCCAATGATCTCGGTTCCTTTCGATATTCGCGCATATCGGACCGTAACTTCCTGAATTATGGCCCTTGATTGTATGAAAAATCGCGTTTTTAGCTTGTGGACCCTATAGAGGTCATGATTTTTATCCGATTTAAAAAAACGTATTATTATATCACCGTTACACCCTAAGGACAGCTAAGATCGAATTTCGTGAAAATCGGCCCAAAACTGACAGACAAAATGGCCGCCGTTCGTTCTCAAATAGCGTAAAAATATGGTATATATCAAGGTTGTGGACCCAATAGAGGTTACAATTTTGATCCGATTTTGTTGAAATTTGAAATGTAAGTTTATACCTCAAAGATCTCGGTTCCTTTCGATATTCGCGCATATCGGACTGTAACTTCCTGAATTATGGCCCCTGATTGTACGAAAAATCTCGTTTTAGCTTGTGGACCCTATAGAGGTCATAATTTTTATCCGATTTTAAAAACCTTATTATTATATCACCGTTACACCCGAAGGACGCCTGAGTTCGAATTTCGTGAAAATTGGTCCAAAATTGACAGACAAAATGGCCGCCGTTCCGTCTCAAATAGCGTAAAAATATGGTATATTAAGTTTGCGGACCCTATAGAGGTCACAATTTTTATCCGATTTTGTTGAAACTTGAAATGTAAGTTTATAACCCAAAGATCTCGGTTCCTTTCGATATTCGCGCATATTCGACAGTTTCTTCCTGAATTTTGGCCCCTGATTGTACGAAAAATCACGTTTTTAGCTTGTGGACCCTATAGAGGTCATAATTTTTAATCCGATTTAAAAAAACGTATTATTATATCATCGTTACACCATAAGGACGGCTGAGTTCGAATTTCGTGAAAATCGGCCCAAAACTGTTAGACAAAATTGCGGATCCTATGGAGGTCACAATTTTTATCCGATTTTGTTGAAACTTGAAATGTAAGTTTATAACACAAATGTTCCTTTCGATATTTGCGCATATCGAATTGTAATTTCCTGAATTATGGCCCTTGATTGTAGGAAAAATCACTTTCTTTTTAGCTTGTTCTCTATCCATCTCTCGAAAATGTGGGCGTATCCTGCCTGGCAGCCGCTGGTCAAAAATGTTTAATTTTACAAAACGCTAACAACAATTAAAATTCAAACATTTGCTTTGGGTAATTCTTTTAAATAGATTTAATTTCTCCAAAAAGTAATTGTAGCCCTAAAACAGTGTCTTAATCTGCCCCATCGACTATGGGTCAGGAACGGTCAACTTACTGTGCATATTTATCAATATTTTTGCATATCAGAAATCTGAAAAAAAAATCTTGTTACTTGAATATATACATGTATATGTTGTACGCTCATTTTCCCATAATTTGTAGTGCTAGTGTTGATTAAAAATTGCAGAAATACTGTCCAATTATAATATTCCATCATTTGTATCGAAATTTACTCTTTTTGCACCAAAAGTCTGGCTGATAGAAACTGCTACATCTTTTCCCTTCCAGAACCTGTCTGCTGTCTGACGAATTGTCACAAGTATGATAGTTTTGGACCTTCAATTATCTAAGTGGTCAAATATGATGTAAATAAGTATAGAGATTGGTTAAA